GATCCCAGCACTTGGGGAGGCGGACTCGCAGGTGGATCTCTGTGAGATTGCGGCCACCCTGGTCTACATAGTGAGTTCCAGGCCAGCTGGGCAGCTGGGGCTAGAGAGAGACCCAGTCTCAAAACAAAAACAAAAACAAAAACCTCTGGAACTTTCTAATTTGAAACTAGAGCACAGAGAAGATGAAGACGTAGTTCAAGGGCAGAGAGAGGCACATTGATAATAAATAAAAGACCAAGGAATAGAAATGTGTGGAAGGCCAGGTCTGCAGTTAACGGAGGGATCCACTGTAGACGAAGCTCAGGAAGAACACGGGCCCTGGCGAAGATGGAGACTCCAGGTCTTCCAGGGAGAGATGCTGCGCCTTCCTCGGCCTCTTGTCTCGCGAGTGCAGGAAAGCCAGAGGGTGTTGTCTGAGGACCGGAAACTAGGAGGAATCCCTAAAAGACGGGAACAAGAAGGGTGATCTGAAAAGGGGAACCAAGGCCTACGCACTTGCCAAAGGTGGGCGTGGCTGTCATGGTCCCCAGGTGCCCAGGTGGTGTGTTCCCGCTGCAGAAGGAGTCTGGGCACTGACCAGATGAGCCTGCAGGTGGAACCTCAGTCCTGCATCCCCAGCCCTCAATCGTATATAAATCTTACTTCCTATAAGCCACGACAATTCGTGGTAGTTGAAGGTTTTTAAAAAACTAATACTACATAGTGAGTTCCAGGACAGCTAGGGCTACAAGGAGACCCTGTCTCAAAAAGACAAAAAACCAAAACAAAACAAAAAAATAAAAAAAAAACCAAACAAAAAACCCCTAATATTTCCTTTGATTCTTTGAGAATTTCCTACAGTGTATTTTGATCATATTCAAACCCCTCACTCATCTCCTTTCAGATCTACCCTAACCCTTCCTACCTCCCACTTACTTTGTGTCCTTTATTTATTTTTCTATTATTTTTTTAAAAATAATTTATCGAGAATTTTATACATGCATATAAGGTGTTTTGATCAGATCCATGCCCACTCCCTTCCCTCCAACTCCTCCCATATCTCCCCATCACTGTTTTCTGATGTGTCCTTTTTTAAAAGCTTATCCAGTTTAATTTGTGTTCCCCAAAGGAGTGGGTCCATCCCCTGGAGCCTGGTCAGCCTAACCTGGTATCACACCCTTAAAGAAAAATTGTGGGGCTGGAGGGATGGCTCAGTGGTTAAGAGCACTGACTTCTCTTGCAAAGGACCCGGGTTCGGTTCTCTGCACCCACACGGCGGCTAACAACCATCCATAATTCCAGTTCCAGGGGAATCTAACTCCCTCTTTTGACTCCATGTGCATTGCATGACACGGGTGCACTTATACACATGCAGGTAGGCAATACACTCACCCACATAAATGAAAATAATAAAATATTAAAAAAAGAAAAATCGTAAGAGTCAGAGTTGAAATTTAAAAAATTTTATTTATATTGATTTTAGGTGTATGAGTGTATTGCCTACATGTATGTAAGTGCACCTGTGTTGTGCAATGCCCTGGAGGTCAGAAGAGGGCATTGGAGCCCCTGGAATTGGAGTTACAGATGGTTGTTAGCTGCCTTGTGGGTGCTGGGAACCAAACCCAAATTCTCTGCAACCAGTGTTCTTTTTTTTTTCAAATTAAAAAAAAATTATTATTTTTATTCTATGGGTATGAGTGTATCGCCTGCTTGTATGTGAGTGTACCTGTGTCATGCAATGCTGTGGAGGTCAGAAGAGGGCTTCAGATTCCCCTGGAACTGGAGTTAAGGATGGTTTTATTTATGTTGATAACAATCAGCAGGTTGAAATGTGAAAAGAAAATATCTCATAACAATCTACATAATATTTGGGAATAATTTTTTGTCCCGGCCCATGGGATCTGCAACAGGGTACCTGGATTGGGGAGTGGGGATTTGGATGGGGCAAGAGACAAGAGAAATGGAGACAAGACAGGGTTCTGATCAAGTCTCATTTATTGCAGCACAAGCATGAGGTTAAATAGAGAATGAGAACAAAGGAGTAAAGACTGAGAGTAATCATATCAGCCAGACCGCAGGGGCCCAGATGTACTCTAGGGGAGGAATCTACTGATTAACAGGGCAGTTTACTGGAAAAGAGTGCAAGGCTGCGGGCCAAGGCCATGGGCTCTGTCCTGTGCCCTCGGGAGGAGAGTGGGCAGAATGGAAAGTTACCAGCTTAGGTCTGTCAGCAGTTTTGAGAAATGGCTGAGCCTTAGGCTCCCAACAATTTTTCAAGAAACCTGTTCAGCCTTGTATTAGGGATTTAATTTTACTTTAAAGGACACTAACAAATACCAAAATATAGAGGCCTGCAATTTTCATGGACAGGATGAATTAACAACAATACATTAACATTTCCTAAGTTAATTAGTGCTATTTTAACCAGAATCCCACTTTTAAACTTCTTTTTTCTTTTTCTTTTTTTTTTTTATTTTTATTTTTGTGTGTGTGTTTTTGAGACAGGGTCTCCCTGTAGTCCACCCCTGGCCTGGAACTCACTATGTAGACCAGGCTGACCTTGAACTCACAGAGATCTACCTGCCTCTGCTTCCCAAGTGCTGGGACTAAAGGTGTGTGCCACCACATCCAGCTGGATTTTTTAACTTATTGAACTGGGAAAAGTGACCTTATAAATTATTGGAGTAGTTAATATCTGAGAAGAGCCAAGAAAATTTTTGAAAAAAAAGACAGTGGCGATTTGCCTTTCTGAGTAAACTTCTAAGCTACAATGATTAAGCACTAACATTGTAAATATCTTCATGATTGTTTTTTACATTTTATTTATTATTTTTATTTTATGTGTATGCGTGTATTGCCTGCATGTAGGTAGGTGCACCCATGTCATGCAATGCCCATGGAGGTCAGAAGAGGCTGTTGGATCCCCTGGAACTGGAGTTACGAACAGTTGTTAGCTGCCATGTGGGTGCTGGGATTTGAACCTGGGTCTTCTGCAAGAACAACCAGTGTTCTTAACCACTGAGCCATCTCTCTAGCCCCGTATCTTCATGATTTTATCTTAGTGAAAAATATCATCTTAATTCAATGGGAAATGATGCTTTAGTATAGGCATAATTTGCCATTTATCTAAAAGAAAATATGTCAGACTGTGTTAGTTACTTCTCTGTGGCTGTGATAAAATACCATGGGCAAAAGCAACTTAGGGAACAAAGGGTTTATCTTTGCTGATGGTTCCAGAGGATCAGAGTCTGTCACATGGGGAAAGGCCTGGCAGCAGGAACAAGAAGCTGACTGATCACATTTTCATCCACATATAGCAAGCAGAGAGAGGGAGAGAGGGAGAGAGAGAGGGAGAGAGAGAGAGAGGAGAGCGAGGGAGAGAGAGAGACAGGGAGAGAGGAAGAAAAGAGAGAGAGAACAGGAAGGGGGAACACTATAAACCCTCAAAGCCCACCTGCAGTGACGTGCTTCCTCCAGCAAGGCTCTACTTCCTAAAGGTTCTGTGACCTTCCCAAACAGTGCCACTAGCTGGAGACCAAGTGTTCAGACACTTGAACCTGTGGAGATATTTCTCATTCAGGCCGTTACATGGACCTTGACTTAAAATTTTTTTTTCTCTCAGTATTTAAGAATGAACCTAGGGCCTCATGCTTGCTAGGCAAGTGGACTACCATGAGCTATAACCTCAACTGTAACCCTTTATGTTATATGTAAAATTAAGTTCTAGATGGATTAAGCCAAATAATGCCACAGAACTATTAATGTATCTTAGAGAAAATATTAGATAAATTTGCCCTTATAAAAGGTCAAAAATTAGCCAGGCGTGGTGGTGCGCGCCTTTAATCCCAGCACTTGGGAGGCAGAGGCAGGCAGATCTTTGTGAGTTCGAGGCCAGCCTGGTCTGCATAGTGAGTTCCAGGACAGCTGGGGCTACAAGGAGACCCTGTCTCAGAAAAGACAAAAAAAAAAAAAAAAAAAAAAAAAAAAAGATAAAAAATTATATAACAAAATTTGTAAAAAATTATAGGCTAAAAAAATGTTCTTAACGTGTGAAAGGGTTACTATTTCTGTTACATGAACTTTTGAAAGCATTGTGATGCCCATCCAGTACTGGAGAGGCTGAGGCTGGAGGACTGTGAGTTTGAGGTCAGCTGGACTGAGTAGTGAGACCCTTTTCAAAAACCCAAACCAAAAATCCTCTAGAAATAATTCAAGGAAAAATGGTCGAAACACAGAGGCAATTAATTATCTAAACAGAAAATGTGACTAAAAACTTGTGAAAATAGACCCTTTCTGGTAATCGGAGGTGTAAATGAAAACATGCAATTCCTTCTCCCCTTGAATCTGTTGGCACATGTTAAGAACAGTGTGGTGATTAATTGGTCATGAAGCTAAAGGAAGACAGGCCGTTCACAGCTAGGAATGTGGATCACTCTCACTTTTGGGAAGTGAAACCCTGTACACTCTTACCATCTTAGTCACTGTATTATACTGTGAGTTTCATAGTCACAAACACGTGCCTGTTATGAGTATCCATAAATCAGAATATGTTTGAATAAATTATCATATACTTAATATTAAGCAGACATTACAAAGGATGGTTAAAACTGTAACTTTGGCCGGGCGTGGTGGCAAATGCCTTTAATCCCAGTACTCAGGAGGCAGAGGCAGGCAGATCTCTTCGAGGTCCAGGCCAGCCTGGTGCACATAGTGAGTTCTAGGCTAGCTATGGCTATAGGGAGACCCTGTCTCAAAAATACCAAATAAATAAATAAATAAATAAATAAATAAATAAATAAAATAAAGACTCTCATGAGGGGTGCAGACCTGACCATGCGCTTGGCTTTATTCTATGATACTCTGGTCACTGCAGTGTGGGTGGTAATGACCTTCCTCCTTGTGTGGTCCCACTGCTGTTGGGAATAAAATGAAGACAAGAATAATTCAGTTAGTTAAGACACTGAAATGCGAACCATTGTCCTCGAGATAATTCTCAAATGTTTTCAACTTGTATGATGTAGGTGACGAAGTCGCCTGAGGAATCGTCCTCCCTTCCCAATGGAGATGTAGCGGGAGAGTCGGAAGGCACTGCGGAGGTAAGGGTTGGCCCTGCAAGCCACGTGTTCCCATGCCAGTATCCTCAGGGTGGCTGTGTGGGCCTTTCTTTCTGTTTTCTCCCTACCTATGTATCTATCTGAGTGTGTGTGTGTGTGTGTGTGTGTGTGTGTATGTGTGTGTGTTTTTGTATGTATGTATACATGTATATATCTCATCTCTCCTATCGATTTATCTATCATCTAATCATCTATCATCTATCTATATCTATCTGTCATTTATTATCTATCTATATTTTTTGAGACAGGATCTCACTGTGTAACCTTGGCTGACTTGGAGCAAACTATATAGATCAGATTGGCCTAGAACTCACTGAGATCCATCTGCCTCTACCTCCCAAGTGCTGGGATTAAAGCTTTATGCCACCATGCCTGGCCTATCATCAATCAATCTATCTATCTATCTATCATCTATCTATCTATCTATCTATCTATCTATCTATCTATCTATCTATCTATCATCTTTCTATCATCTATCTATCAATCTATCATCTATCTATTGATCTATCATCTATCTTTGTTGATCTATCATGTCTATCTATTGAGCTATCATCTATCGATCTATCACCTCTCTATCCATCTATCATCTACCTATTTATCAATCTATCATCTATCTATTGATCTATCATCTATCTATCTATCTATCTATCTATCATCTATCATCTACCTATCTATCTATCTATCTATCTATCTATCATCTATCTATCTATCATCATCATCTATCTATCATCTATCATCATCTTTCTATCCATCTAGTTTTCCTATCTCTTATCTATTAACATCCATCCATCCATCCATGACCTTCATGAGTCTTAAATGGGTAACTCAACATCTGTCACTCAGGCAGTTTATTGCGGCAGCATGCAGTCAGTCTGTTATCCTTTTGGGGTTTGGGGAGCCTTGTTCTAGTAGCCCAGTGACCTCATGACTAGGAGGTCTCTGTTGGCTCCACTTACATGCCATGGTCTGAACGGGAAGGCCACGGTAGACATAGACTGCCCTTTCCCCGTTAGCATGCTGAAGGTTAGTGATGCCTTGGGTTGCTTTTATGAGCAGGAAGCAGAGAAGGCTGAAGAGAGTGGAGAAACTGAGGCACAAAAAGAGGAAGAAGGCGCCAGCCACATCTCTGAATCCCAAGAGAAGAATGTGAGTGTTCATCTTTTCATGGCAGTTTCGTTGGATTTGGTCTGTTTTTTGTTTACTGGGCTCCTGCACGGTGCCAGGAATTGAGCTGTGCTGTGAGGTCACAGCGGTGAGAAAGAAGGTGGGAGCCCAGCGCTTAGCTGTGACCAGTCGGGCCATTTCATTCTTGTCATAACTGCTGTGGGCCAGGTGCTGAGAGGGCGAAGGGGAACGAAGGGGAACGGAGGGGAACGGAGGGAGGACACCCCCCCCCCCCCCCCCCCCCCCCCCGGCTAGGCCTGGTGGGAGCCAGTGAGTGCCAGCTTCAGTGATTGGCCATGTCACAGGGGAAGGTTAGGTTCATGTTCCTGCTCAAACAAGGTGCTGGTGAATAATGACCAACACCTACCTCCTATAAACTGTAAATAATGGCCTCCTGGAGAAAAAGACCTACACACACCTGCCCAAGCACCTGAGAAGAAAGAGGCTGTATTAGTCACTTTTCTGTTGCTGTGATAGAAACACTGACCCAAGCTCAAGTTATAGAAGGAAGAAGTTATTTGAGCTTACGGTTCCCGGGGAATTACAGTCCGTCTTGGCGGGGAGGCATGGTGGCAGAGGTGGCTGGAGAAGAGGAGCGGAAGCTAAGCTCTACATCTTCCAGCAGGCACAGGAAACGAGAGCGACTGGCGATCTGGCAAGGCTTAATAACTCTCTAAGCCCAACCCCAGTGACCTGCTTCCTCCAGGATAGCCACACCTAAAACATCCCAAAACAGCGCCACCATCTGGGGACAAAATGTCCAAACACTTGGAGCCTTTGGGGGACATTATCATTCAAGGCATCACACAGGCATGCAGTGTGTTTGTGAGACAGCACTGGGAGCTGAGGACAAAGGGAGCACAGGGAGGAAAACGGACACTGAATTCAGGTCCATCTGGGGGACAAGCAAATCCCAGCGAGTGCGAGGCATGGGGTCTAACCCTAAAACGGACACTGAATTCAGGTCCATCTGGGGGACAAGCCGATCCCAGCGAGTGCGAGGCATGGGGTCTAACCCTAGAGTGATTCCTAGTCAGGAGCACCATCATGACAAATGGTATGTGGGGATTTTGTATGCACTGAGAACAGTGGTGGACACCACTTAAGGAATTGTGGGAAGGTGGCTGAGAAGCCAGCTGGGGAGGTGCTGGCTACCCAGGGAGCTTGATGGACCGGGGGGAGGTGCAGGCCTTGGACCAACCCTCCCTTTAGGAGAATTTCAGTAGGAATATCACAAGATCTTTATAAAATGGTGGAAACATTCAAACTGGTTCATGCTTGTGTTTGGTTTTGATAAAGGTAAAATTCTTTTTTCTTGTAATTAAAAAAAAATTTTTGTGTGTTTCATACAGAACCATCTTCGTTATCTTTACACCCCCTTCCCCACTGGCCCCCTCCCATAATCCCCCCACACTGGAATTCATGCATTGTCATTTGTGTTAAGGCCTATCATGTCAAGTTAGTGTCTGCAGATGTCCCTCAGTGCAAGTTTGTCCACTGAGGTCTAGTCAGCCTGTCTAGAGTTCCTCCCTTTAAGATCAGCTCTTCCTCTCCAGCGGTGACCAGCTGCCAATAGTTTTTCAGCTAAGATTGGGGCCAGCTGTCCGTTTCCTCATTTTTACGCTGGATTTTTGTCTGTTTAAGTTTGCATGGGTCCTGTGCTTGCTGTCACCATGCTGTGGTTTCATATAAGCAAGGTCCTAGGAGCGTGTAGGACTCCATTTCCGTATGGTCATATACCTCCTCCCTGGCTCTTACAATCTTTCTGCAATGGTCCTGAGCCCTGGGTGGGTGGAGTTTAATATAGGAGTCCTGTTCAAGGACCCATACTCTGCAGACTCTTATTTTCTATGGCAAGGTAAAAGTCTTACTGAAAAGGTAAAATTATTTTAAATCATGTTATTTGCCCTGGGCTTGATTGACACATGGTTGTGGTCTCTCCCTTGGCTCCTTCCAAAATCAGTCCTGAAGAAAGTTCCTTTTCCAAAGGCAAATACTGGTGCAGTTCCCAAGACCTTCCAGGTCTAAGGCCTGGCCCCATGGGGACAGATCCAGAGAACTCCACTTACCATCTCTCCTGCAGTTCTGAGGCCGGCTAACTTCTCAGGTCACACTGGCGGGCCTCTGTGTCCTCACCATCCATGTCTGACACTCACCACCACCAACACCTGCCCTCCATCTGGCCAAGCTCCATGTCAGTGGCCCAAGCCTTGGTCAAGTTTCCAACAAAAATAGCTGCTGTGGAAGGCCTGAGAGTTCCTGCTTCCCAGGAGCTCCTGGTGGCTCCCTCAGAGGACAACATGGTGAGATCATGTAGGTTGTATGTATCTCATGGTCCTGTGAGTGCTTGGCTTGACAAGGTGATTAAAACTTCCTTTAAAAGTGCTGAGCCGGGCATGGTGGCGCATACCTTTAATCCCAGCACTCAGGAAGCAGAGGCAGGTGGATTTCTGTGAGTTCAAGGCCAACCTGGTCTACATAGTGAGTTCCAGGCCAGCTGGGGCTACAGGGGGACCCTGTCTCAAAAAGACTAAAAAAAAAAAAAGTTTTTGTAAAGGTAATTATTTGCCAGCTATTTGTCAATTGATGTGGCTGGAGAGATGGCTCAATGGTTAAGACCACTGGTCGCTCTTGTAGAGGACCTGAGTTCAGTTCCCAGCAGCTACATAACAACAACCACTTATAACTACAATTCCAGGGAATCTGATGACCTATTCTGGCCTCCACGGGCCCCAGGCATGCACATAAAAATAAAATCTTTTTAAAAAATTTATATATCTAGGGCTAGAGAGCTGGCTCAGTGGTTAAGAGCACTGGTGGCTCTTGTAGAGGACCCGGGTTCGATTCCCAGCACCCACATGGCAGCCAACAACCATCCATAACTCCAGTTCCATGGGAATTGGATACCCTCTTCTGACCTCCATGGGCACTGCATGACATGGGTGCACTTACATACATGCAGGCAATACACTCATACACATAAAATAAAAATAATAAATAAAATATTAAAAATTTGTATATCCTACCTCATTCTAAGAAGGATTAGAAAGATGAGAGGCAGGAACGACATTTGATAACTGAATTCATTTAACATTTTATCCATTGACTGAGGCACCATCCCATGCCAGGCAGAGCCTCAGAAACCTGAACGGAGCAATGGAGCTTTTCTCTGATAGAGCTTGTGTTTTGAGAGCTAGCCACTGATGACAGTGTCCTATGTTATTGCCCTTTTGAGGTTATTTCTTTTAATAAAATATTTTACTTATTTTTATTTTATGTGTATGAGTGTTTTGCCTGCACGTAAGTTTGCCACATGCATGCAGTGCCCGAGGATGCCAGAAGAGGGAGACAGATTCCTTGGAACTAGAGTTAGGATGATTGTTAGCCACCATGTAGTTGCTGGGAACTGAACCCAGGCACTCTGCAAGAATAGCAAATGCTCTTAACCACTGAGCCATTTATTGCTTTACCCTTTGAGGTTATTTCTGTAAGATCTCTGAGCAAAATATTTTCTCTACTTAGGGTGTCTTTAAAGAAATTAAGATCAGTTCCAATACTGATGAGTGCTAGGTCTCTGTGTTACCATAAAGCTGAGACCAGCAATTCCTATTCTCCTGCTGTCCTCCCGGCTAGCTCTAAGGGTGCCCCATTTTTAACCACGCCTTGTTTAACCTGGATACTAAAAATACTTGGATTTAAGAAAAAGCAAAACTCTATGGAATTGATGATTCTATGCTGAATATAATGAATTTTAATCTGAACCCACGTAGAGAAGAAGAAAATTAATATTCTTTGAGAGCCAGAGTAGATGGAAGACTGCATGCGTTCTTACTCCCAGTCATGTGACTCAGGTTTATTGAGTTTAGACCTTGAGTCTGCCAGTGGCAGGACCCTGCATATCCTGAAAATGAGTAAGACACAGATCATGTCCCCAAGACATGCCTTTCTGACAGCCTAGTGAGAAAGATGGACAAACCGACAATGGCTGTGGGAGCTGATGAGAGAGAGGTCTCCTAAGTCAGGCTTCAGGGTAGGGGAAGTCTTCCCCCGAAAACCTCATTTTGAGCAACATGCTGGAGTGATAACTGACAGGAGAGGACTGCACCGTGATTCAGTCTGGATGAAGTAAAGAGCAGGAAGAGGGGGAGCCCAAGGCTCAGTGTGCTAGATAGCGTTAGTGTCAACTTGACACACCTGGGTTGAGGGAACCTCAATTGGGGAATTGCCTCCATTGGACTGGCCTGTGGCCATGTCTGAGGGGCATCTTCTTGATGAGTGATATGGGAGGGCCCAGATCACGGTGGGTGGTACCACCCCTGGGCAGGTGGGCCTGTGTTGCATAAGAAAGCAGGCTGAGCAGGGGCCAGGGGAGCAAGCCAGTAAGCAGTGTTCCTCCATGGCCTGTGCTCCAGCTCCTGCCTCCAGGTTCCTGCCCTGAGTTCCTACCTTGGCTCCCTGATGAACTGTGACCTGAGAGATGTAAGATAAATAAACCCTTTCCTCCCCAAGTTGGTAGTGGTCAGAGTATTTTGTCACAGCAATGAAGAACAAACTAGGACAGAAATTGGTACGAGAGAGTGGGATATTGCTGTGACAGACCTGACCTTGGTGTTTTTGGGAGGACTGTGGAAGTGTTTGGAACTTTGGGCTGGTAAAGCCATTTCGTGCTCAGAGTTTGTTGCTGTGGAGCTTGGAACAGTTACACTGAAAGAGTTGTGGGCAATGGAGGCCTGGAGCGGAGACTATCAGGGCTGTTCGTGTGAGATTTTGGATTGAGAATCTGTGGGGTTCTGTCAGCTGGGACTGAAGAATCAGCTGTGATTAAGAGGAGACCAGAACCTGAAGTAAAACCTTTGCTTTACTGGGATAATTAATGCTGGTTAGCTGGGGCTGAAAAATCAGCTGTAAGTAATAAGAGACCAGCATCACTGTGGTGGAGTCTTCCGGATATTTCCTCAGGGTCAGCACACAGAGGGCACCCGCACCTCTATTTCAAGCTGGAAGCAGGAGTTGGTAATGTGTAAGAGTCTCCTGCATGGTTCTGGTGTTGAAAGTGTGAAGGGGTCACAGAGAGCAGCTGAGGCTTGGCACTCTGAGAGGCCAGGAAAGGCCATAGGTGAAAGTGCAGCTTCAGTTACAGCGAAGACCCCAAGATTGAAGGGGTCATGGAGAGAATCTGAGGCTTTGCACCCCAAGAGGCAAGAAGAGGCCATTGGTGAAGGTGTAGCCTCAGTTTCAGTGGAGACCCCAGCTTTTTGGAAATGCCAGGACCATGGGACGACCACCAAGGACTACAGTAGGTGTGGAATGGAGCTGGCCAGGGTCTGCAAGATGAGCTGAGTGTGCTGTGGATGGCAGTCAGAGCAGTGGAGCTGCCAGAACCCTTTGGAGGCCAGAAGATCGTGAGTGAATCCCAGATGTCCAGCCTTGAGCTACTTTGCAGGACTATGGTTTTGCTTAGGTGTGCCCGATTCTTCCCTTTGAAATAAGGCTGGGCTTGCTTCATCTGCAAGGAGGAGGGGGAAGGACTATAAGGGCCACAGCAGGTGTTGATCGTCAGCTGGCTGTCCGATAACAGGTTGCAGCATCAGGTTCTCTCAGACCTGCAAGTCTTTTAACTTAACAGCTGTGTCAGAGTCTAGATTCATCCTGATGGAAGTTTCTAAACATAAGGTGAGGTCTGTGGTCTGTTGGAACTATTTCTGTGGAAATGAAGTGGGGCCGGTGGGAGGATGTGCGACAAGATTGCTCTTGACCCCCAGACCAGGGCTCCAGACATACACTGCCTGGGTTGCAAGGCGATGGGGTTTCTAAGGGCTGCTCTTAGATTCCTGTCTGTTTCGTTAAGCGTTGGAGTGCTCCGGGCCATTTGGGGCAGCCATGGCAAAGTTCTGTCTCCTTCTGAGAGCTGCAATTTTAGCAGATGTCAGCTGGCTCTGTTACTTGATCTGGGCCAACAGAAATCATGCGGGGGTGACACTTGGACACATTGGGAGTCTGCAGTGACCCCCACCCATCTTACCTTGTAAATTTCTTTTGTTAACCAGAAAGCAGTGTTTACTATGTACTTCAGAAATGCGTTTTGTTCTGGTAGAGGAAAAGTCTTTGTTCAGCTTTTATTAATTGGTTCGAAGCTGAAGTAAAAGCACATTTATGAGGGCAGAAAGGCAGAAAAGACGGACTTTCTGTGGAAAAACTTGATTGCTTGCCTATCTAATCTGAATTTTGTTGGATGGGTCTGTAATCTTTAGTAGTGTACGCTGGCTATAGAGACAGAACCACATATACCATTAAGCTCCAATTATATCACTAATTATATTTTCTTGGGAGTATGGATGATGGGGAAACACCTTTAAAGGTATTATTCTTTATACGTGTATTTAAAGGTATATTTTATATTCCAAGTGATTGAAATAGAATGTGTGAAATAGAGATCATAGTTTTGCTGTTTATATATGTTGTGGATAAATAGAAGCTCACTTTAATGAGCTTCTGTTTCATTACAGTTTTGCTTAACTTAAGGATTCAACTTAAATCTTATCTCAATTTGTATTTTTTCTTTATGGACCTAAGGAAGAAGAGGGAGAGAAAGCGACGGAAGAGGTAGGGTCTGCATCTTTGATGGTTGTGTTTAGTCAGCCTAGTGAAAATGGCTTTTAGGAGACAGCAACGTAGCCTAGCCACATTCCCTTGTCCTTGTGTGTGTGTGCGCATATGCATGTATGTGTTTGTGTGTGCACATACTCCACCACCTTATTTTTTCTTTTTAAAAAATAGTTTATTTTGGGGGGCTGGAGAGATGGCTCAGAGGTTAAGAACATGGTTGTTCTTGCAGAAGACTCGGGTTCGAATCCCAGCACCCACATGGCAGCTAACAGCTGTCAGTAATGTCAGTTCCAGGGGATCTGACAGCCTCTTCTGTCCTCCGTGGGCATTGCACGACACAGGTGCACTTACCTACATGCAGGCAATACACTCATACACATAAAATAAAAGTAATAAAATATATTTTTAAAAAGTTTATTGTTAAATTATTTTATGTGTATGAGTGTATTGCCTGCATATATGCAAGTGCACCCGTGCTGTGCAATGCCCACAGAGGTCAGAAGAGGGTGTCAGAGCCCCTGGAACTGGAGTTACGGTTGATTGTTAGCCGCCATGTAGGTACTGGGAATTGAACCTGGGTCCTCTGCAAGAGCAGCCAGTGCTCTTAACCACTGAGCCATCTCTCCGGCCCCATCTTCACCTTATTTTTGAAGCAGGGACTCTCACTGAACCTCACCTATTCGGCTAGGCTGGCTGGCCAGCTAGCTCCAGGGAGGCGCCTGTCTCCACCTCCCGGTGCTGGGATTATAGCGTGGTGCTGCTGTGCCTGGCTTCTTTAGAAGGGTTCTTGAGGACTGAATTCTTCATTCTTGCATGGCAAGCACTTTATGGATGGAGCCATCTTCCCATTCCCCTTGTTCTTCATGAAATGAGGAGCCAGTATAACTCACACATCAGAAAACATGCTGAGAAAGGAAATACATGGGAGATAAATTTGTGCAGGGGAGGTGGATAAACAGGACTTAGCTGTGGACCCTTATGAATCTCCCATGAAGAGGCTACTTAGTAGTTTTTCACTAAGGCTGGGCTGGGGCCTTAGTGGAGATTATGTCTCCTTTCGTCTATTTTCACCCCATGGAGCAGCACATGGTCCATGCTGCCTCTGTGGTGATTGGTGGTGGTGTTTCAGGTGCTTCCTACCCATCTGGTCTGTGGTTATGAGGCTGGACACACATCCCTGATATTGGACATGTGCGGTTGACAGCACTCTGCCCAGTGGCAGGATATTCACACAGCACACAGCCAGGCTTGGGAGGAGTACAGATGACCAGACACTGTGGGCTTTGCAGTGTCAGGAGGGTGGGATCCCCTGGTCCCCACAGCGAATGGAGTTGGCTTGTTTGAATGATTCCAGAGCATAGGCAGGCAATGCGCCTGGTCCCTGCATAGACTGGGGACCTGATCTGGAGGGGTGGAGCAGAAGGGAACGCACACAAGGCCATCCAAGGACATCCCTGTTTAACCTGCAGCCAGCGCACATGTAATATGAAATCTTAAAAAAAATTGTATAATTAGTTATTTGAGAATTTCATACTGTCGTTTAATCATAGTCACTCCCTACTCCCCCCGCAATTCCTCCCAGATCCATCCCACCTCCCTCCCTTCAACTTTGTATCCTCTTTTATTATTATTTTATTAAAATATTTTTATTTTATGTGTATGAATGTATTGCTTGCATGTATGTGAGTGCACCTGTGTCATGCAATGCCTTGGAAGTCAGAAGAGGGCTTTGGATTCCCCTGGAACTGGAGTTAAAGATGGTTCGTAGCTGCCATGTGGGTGCTGGGAGTTGAACCCAGGTCCTCTGCAGAGCAGTCAGTGCTCTTAACTGCTGAGCCATCTCTCCAGCCCTTATTATTTTTAAATGTGATTTCTTTTTTTGATAGGGTCTCCCTATAGCCCCAGCTGGCCTGGAACTCGCTATGTAGACCAGGCTAGCTAGCCTTGAACTCACAGAGATCCGCCCTGCCTCTGCCTCCTGAGTGCTGGGATTAAAGGCGTGCCCCACCATGCCCAGCCTTTTTATTATTTTTAAAAAATAACCTATTGAGTCCAATTTCTGCCGCCTATATACTCCTGGGTGTAACACCATCCAGGAGTTAGCCTACCAGCAGCCACTCTCTTAAAGCAAACTGATTCTCCCTTCCCTGAAGCCAACTGTCCATAAGTCCTCAGTTAGGGGTGGGGGCTCATATGCCTGTTCTCCTTCCACCCTAGAAGTTGACTGTCTTGATCTTGTGCAGATCTTACATAGGCGACCACAGCTGCTGTCAGTTCACGAACGTAGTTGTCCTGTCCTGTCCAGAAGAGACTGGAATGTGGGGCTGGGGAGATGGCTTAGTGGTTAAGGTTGCTTTTGCAGAGGACCCAAGTTCAGTTCCCAGCACCCTTATCAAGTGGGCTTACAACTGACTGCCTGTAACTCCAGCTCCAGGGGATCTGACACCTTTGGCTTCTAAAGGCACCTGTACTCACATGTATACACACACACACACACACACACACACACACACAGACACACATAAACATAATTAAAAATAGTAAAAATTAATCTTAAAACATAAAGTTTTGGACATAAATGAAACAGATTCAGTAAGGGAAGAAAATTTTTAAGACAGGGTCGCACTATATAAGCTCTTGGAACTCGCCATGTGGGCTAGGCTTGCCTCAAACTCAGACACCCACCTGCCTCTGCCTTTTGACTGCTGGGATTAAAGGTGTGCACCAACACCTTTTGCTGGGAAGCAAATTTAAGAAGTGCTTTACAGTGGCTGAAATAGAGCCATAAGAAGTTCACAAACAGATGATAATTATATTAAATCGGGCTGAGCTCAGTTGGTAAAGTGACTTGCCATGTAAACCAAGGATCTGAACACAGAACCCACAAAAGTCAGATGTGGTAGTGTGCACTTATTTTCGGGGGGGGTCTTTTGGAGACAAGGTCTCCCTGTAGCTGCAGCTGGCCTGGATTTGCTAATGGAGACCAGGCTGGCCTCAAACTCAGAGATCCGCCTGCCTCTGCCTCCCAGGTGCTGGGATTAAAGGTGTGTGCCACCACGCCTGGCCTCTACCTCCTATTCTTATCATACCCTCCTCTGAAGAGGTTACCCAACTTGTGGATATCGGGACAGAGACTGCTCTGGCTTCTTCCATGCTGAACAGGGACACAGGGTTGAGGCAATTGGAGTACCCCTTCAGTGGGTCTATCTAAAAGACTCCAGACAAGGTCTCCCTGTAGCTGCAGCTGGCCTGGATTTGCTAATGGAGACCAGGCTGGCCTCAAACTCAGAGATCCGCCTGCCTCTGCCTCCCAGGTGCTGGGATTAAAGGTGTATGCCACCATGCCCGGCTGGTAGTGTGCACTTTTAATCCCAGCTGGTGTGTGTGTGTGTGGTGTTAGTGTGTGCAGTTTATGCATGTGTGTGTATGTGTGGTTAGTATGTACAGTATATGCATGTGTGTGGTATGTGTGTGGTATATGTATGATGTGTGAATATAGGTGGTATGTGTGATGTCATTGGGAACCCTCAGCTCTAGCTGGAGATTTGGCATCTTTTCCCCAGTGTGTCCTCTTTGGCCCTTCCTCATCTCAATAATTATGTGATTTTTGTGACTAGACAGAAGAGGTAATGGAGGAAGGAGCAAAAGGGGAAGCTGAGGAAGAGGATGCCGGAGAAGAGGAGGCAGGAGAAGAGGAAGATTCATAGATCTCTTGATCGACTTTTCGACTCTTCAGCTTTCCCAGGTAGCTTTGGAATCCTGGGCTAAGCAGCTGCTTGCTTCTGTGTCACCTGTGTGACTGCTCCCACTGTGTGAGGAGGGGCAGAGCCTGGTTTCTCCTGTGTCACTGTGTGACCACTCCCATTGTGTGAGGAGGGGCAGAGCCCAGTTTCTCCTATGTCACCATGTGACCTCTCTCACCATGTGAAGAGGGGCAGAGCCTGGTTTCTCCTATGTCACTGTGTGACTACACCCACTGTGTGAGGAGGGGCAGAGCCCGGTTTCTCCTATGTCACTGTGTGACCTCTCTCACCGTGTGAGGAGGGGCAGAGCCCGGTTTCTCCTATGTCACTGTGTGACTGCTCCCACTGTGTGAGGAGGGGCAGAATCTGCTTCATTGGCATCTCTCTCCTGCTAAGACCCAGCACTGTACACTGTAGGACTGTGATCTCTGCCACATCTATTACTTGGCACTAGGGCATGATGGGAAAAGGAACACTTTGAGCAGGGAAAGGTTTGCGTGACCGCCTCTTCTATACGACCTTTATTTAAGAAATGGCACAGAAGCGGCTGTCTCGGTGGGTGTCCATCCCTCAGATGCTGCTAGAAGCCAGCACACTTGCATGCCCATGGAGTGAGTGGCAGCAATGTAACCTTAAAATCACACAGCTAGCTACTCATTCATGGGAGAATCCCTGCTGCTGGTCACGCAGACCTAAGTACCAGATACCAATGTCTCATTAATATTAGCTGACCACTGGTGCCGACACACCAGTGGAATGTATTGATATCTTTAGGAATATCTGGTAAGCTTTTTCCTCATTTTAACTACTGTTTCTGATAAAACAAGAATTATGTAATTCTCTCCAGATGAGTACGTGCCACATAAACACATTAATAAGACCACCGTAGTAGATAGGGACCGTTATTAAGGACGCAAAAGAGGAGCTTGAATATTGTACAGCACAATGAAAATCTGGGAGCCCATTTTGTGCTACCAAAACACCTGGTCCCACCAAGTGTGAGGAACCCCCTTTGCAAAGGTGTGACTGTTGCCGTATGACTGTGTCTGAGGCAGTAGATTATTACGGGGATTGTGTTTACACTTTTTGCTCCAATGCTGTCAGGCTTTACAAAATTAAATAATATGATTTCTAGTCTCCTTCCCATCTATATTATACCTGTACTTAAAAAAAAAAGTGAGGGGCTGGAGAGATGGCTCAGTGGTTAAGAGCACTGACTGCTCTTGCAGAAGACCCAGGTTCGATTCACAGCACCCACATGGTGGCTAATGACCATCTATAACTTCAGTTCCATGGGAATTGGATGCCCTCTTCTGACCTCCATGGGCATTGCATGACATGGGCGCACTTACCTACATGCAGGCAATACATGCATACACATAAAAATAATAAATAAAATATTTTTAAAAAGTGAGTCCGATTTCTGGGCCTTAGCCGTGAGAGCAATCAGAGAGGCGCTAATGTGAGATACGCACGCAAGCACACAGTAGGTCTCAGCAAAGGTGCATGTGGAAGGATTCATGTAGACAAGGCAGCAAAATTCCTCAGCTCTGTAAATATTGGCTAAGGAGTAGCAATGCTCTGTGGACGGAAGACCAATGTGCACAGCACGGACTGTCCCCTTAGTGTGGTTACAAATAAACAGGGAGAGCAGGAGGTTTGATGTATTTTTAGGACATCTTGGAGCTGGTGGGAGTAGCTGTCATAGTTTATTATTGGACCATAAAAGTATTATCTTCTGTTTATATTATAAAGTAAATCCAGCCCAGAACTGGTATTTTTCCCAGATGGTTTCTTTTATGCTGTGGACACACAGACCTCGCTGTCAGGCCTATTGACTGTCCTTTTGGTAATGATTCTGGTGCTCAGGAATGAACTGACACTCATATTTGAGAAAAAAAAAAAAAGACAAATTTTGAAAGTCTACCTCAAGAATTGTAGGAAATGCAGTTTCTCTGATGGGTTCTGGGTTGGGAATCCAATCCATAATAGTCTGTCGTGAAGTCAAAATAGCAGACATAAAGGAGTGAACCAGGCACCCCCCACCCATCCTGTTTCCTTCTTTCAAATGCGCCATGACAGCAGGATCAGGTTCTCCGTGAACCTCTCGGTTTCCAGAGGCAAACCCGTCTCATTGCCCGTGGACAGCTGGGCATTTTGTGATTGGTTTGAAAAGATGATCTTAGGGAGAACTTGGCAGTGAACGAACGGCGAAGGACCTCTCCTGTCCCCTTTTAGGGTTGGGTTAGACTCTAATCCGATGCTTGCTTCTGCACAGAAGGGTCCTGAACCCTACCTCCCAAAGCTTGCAGCTCAGGCCTGCCTTCTAGAGCACCAAAGCCACACGCCAGTGCAGCTCTCAGATGCAGGTTCAGCTAATTCGGGCCGGGGCTCCCTCTGGTGTCTGGTAGTGTGAACCTGGCTCGTTGCCATGACAGCAATTATTTTCCTTAGTTTGCAGTGGGGAACAAATATTAAGTCGCGGTTTATGGGATACCAAGCCTCCGGGCATTGCATGTTGGGTGGTGAAGCACACAGTAGGCACTGTCTAAGCGGTCTTCCTACATCTCCTTTCTTTTAGACAGTCCAAGCCGGAAGCAACATTTCAACTCTCTTCACAAACCCAACGAAACACCTTGGCCTGAAGTTAACTCTCTTCCCTCAGCACACCAGTGTTCACCGACGATGACTACTACCTGCTGTGGTTAGATGTACATGGATGTCTACTTAATCATATCAAAATGAAACCAAACGTGCAGGCAATGTATGCGTACCTTCCTGTGCCCGACACGCCTGACATTCTTGGGCTTTGCTCACATTATTATTATTATTATTATTATTATTATTTTGCTTTGCACAAGTAGACCTCATTAATGCTCTGGTGAAACGATTTTGAGTAACAGACTTTCTCCTTGTGATCCCACAGCGTCTGTTTATGCGTACTTGTGTACACAATCACAAATAAAGATTGAGAGCAAGCATCTGACCTCTTCGTGTATTTGAACATGCTCCATCTGCTGCCAGACCAGGTCCTGTCGCACCAGGGTGGATTGTTTTTGCTGCCTGATTGCTTAGTCCAGGTTTTCAAACTGCGGTGATTGTCTTGTGTCATATTTCATGTCGCACAAACTGTGCACGCTGTCTTTGGAGCCTGGTCTAACTGCAGTGCCACCCACATGTGCAGGGATGGTGGTCAGGACGAAGACATTTCAACCCAGTGTGCTAACCCTGCGCTAACCCTGCGCTAACCCTGCGCTAACCCTGCGCTAACCCAGCGCTAACCCAGTGCGCTCTGTTGTAGGAGGTGGCTGTAGTTCCCCTGGCTGTTGATTGATCTGCAGTCAGGGACGCTTCATGCAGAGCAGGTTGCTGTGACTGTAGTGTGACTTCCCGTGGCCTCCCATAGCCAGGAGTGTGGGTCACCCACAGCTGGTCCAGCCCCACTACCGTGCTCCAGGTGGGTGGACAGCATCGCTCTGCCCACTTTGCCATGGATGTTTTTCCTTCCTTGTTAAACTCTGTGGCTGCCCCTCTTCAGCCTACATGCTGTTTCCCGCCCACTCCTCAGGTCACATGCTGCATCTGGCTTCTCAGGGGAGCCTGTGTCCTTGCTGTGATGTCCCCTTGTGATACAATCATTGTGACAGTTTCCCTTGGAGTGACCATCAACTTTCCCCAGCTAAGCCACAAGCTGTTTGGAAATGTATTGTGTGGCTAGTCATGTGGAGCTGGGAACTCCAGTAAATAGCTCTTTTCTTGTTATATTAGTAACAAAAAGAGACATTTTGAAGAGAATTAGGGTTATTTTGTTCCAAATAATTGAAGTCCCTTACTTTAAAAACATTTCTTTGCCTAAAATAAGGTGAAAGACTAATAAAATTGAAACTCACAGGACTGAAAATTCTTTTTTTCTTCATTGCATTAAATTGTGTTCTCTTTAAAGAGCTTATGTTTGGGGGCTGGAGAGATGACTCAGCAGTTAAGAGCACTGGCTGCTCTTGCAGAGGATCTGAGTTCAGTTCCCAGCACTCACATGGCAGCTAACAACTATCCCTAACTCCAGTTCCAGGAGATCCGACGCCCTCCTCTGACCTCTGCGGGCATTGCATGACACAGGTGCATTTAAATACATGCAGCCAAACACACATAAAAAAATATCTTTTAAAAAGCTTGTATTCTTTCAAACCCCCAACATCCCCATATGTATTAAGGACCATTTGTTCTTAGTGTCCCTGATTAATGCAAGAGGAACAGAAAGAAAAAGATGTTCTGCCTGCAAAGGATCTTGGGGAATCTTGTAAGCATTTTCTCAGAGTTCTTCAACCATCACCCCGTCCCTGAACCGTCACCCCTGTCCCTGTCCCTGAACCGTTACCGCTCTCCCTGAACCGTCACCCCTGTCCCTGTCCCTGAACCGTTACCCCTCTCCCTGAACCGTCACTCCCTCCCTGGCCAGCCTGGTGAGAAGGGACCCAAGCATGATGTAGTAACAAGAAAGTACCGTTAGGTGGCAGCAAGAGACAAGCTTCTTGATTTGGAGCCCCCCCCCCCACCGCCAGCCACCCACTACAGAGCACTGCGATTGCAATCAGAGGGTGGGCAACGTGTCCATCAGTCAGACTGAGGAAGAAAGCGAGCAAAATAATAAACCACACAAATTGGTGCATTAATTAGTGCAACATTTGCGGAGCTTTTATCCGTGATAATTTATTTTGAGCAAAATGCACACGCTTTAAAATTAATATGTGTAGCTACTATACATATACACATCTGTACACATGTATGTCATACAAAATATGTTTTATGAGGACATTTTCATGTTTAGCATGAATTTTGCTCGTATTCACACCCCCCTTTTCCTCTCTTTCTATGTTCCCACCCTGCCCCCTGCCACGTGAATTCCTTAAAGATTTCCCCAGGGTTGGGTTGCATACTAGAGAGTCTTAACAACCAGCTGCATACTGGCAATTTTGATAAAGATCCAGGCTCTTCCCGGAGCCTGACAGTGGATCTGAGTATCTGGAACGTTCAGGACCCGAAGCATTCTTTATGGTTGTCTAGAGCACTTCTTGTTGGTGGTTGTTTGTTTTTTTTTTTTTTTTTTTTTTTTTTTTTTTTTTTTTTTTTTTTTTTGAGAAAGGGTTCCCCTTTACCCCCCCCTGGCCTGG